TCCTCTGCTTATTGTGCAGTATTACCCTGTATTATTTATTTATTTATTTTTTTTTTTTATTTCAAAGGTTTTTTTATTAGCATTAATCCAAAAAACAATAATATGCAGAACATAGAATTTTCTTGTTTTTCAAAAATTTTAAGGTTCCCCCCATGGACCGTAGGCAGACATTAACGGGCAGCCAGCTGCAAACAAAGTAAAACCAAACATAAAAATGTATACAATGAAACAAACACATTAATAGGAAAGAAATATGGTTACATACACACACGCACCCAGACACACGTCTATAATACCCACGCATACCCGCGTATTTCCGAATGTAATGAATCCGAAACGATGAAATACATACATATATACTCATATATACAGATACATACATATATACACATACACACACACATTCATACACATATTTCACATAAAAAGTCAAATAATAATCAAATAATAAAAATAAAAAAATAATAGTAATAATAATAATAATAAAAATAAATAATAATAATAATGATAAAAATAAATGAATACAAAAATAATAATAATAATAATAATAATAATAATAATAATAATAATAATAAATAAAATAAAAAATAAGTAATATTATTATTAATAAAAGAAATAGAAATGGTAATAATACAAACATGCTATTTGAAAGAAGACAGAATTCAAAATGAAAAGATAATTAAAAATAAGAATACTAATAATAATAAATAAAAAAAATAAGTAAATAAGGATGGGGGGGGTCCTCTATAGGCTAATCAAGATACGGTTGTAGTGGGTCTTTCAAAAAAATTAAGAAAAGGTTGCCAGAGTTTGAAAAATTTATTCTCAGACCCACGGACCGTGTATCTAATTTTTTCCAAGTTCATACATGACATCATGTCTTTTATCCATTGTGAATGTGTAGGGGAAAGAACGTCTCTCCACTTAAGTAGTATAGCTCTTCTAGCTACTAAAGCTTAAAATCTAAGCACTTTGAGCTCGGAGTTGGGAAGGTTGAGCTCTGGAGTAGCCCCAAAAATAGCACAGAGTGGGTCTGGCTTGATCTCATGCTGCAAAACCTCAGAGATTGTATGAAACACGGCCCTCCAGAAGTTGGCCAGTGATGGACACGCCCAGTACATATGGAATAATGTACCAGGGGCACTGCTACACCTCCCACAAGTTGGATCTACATCTGGGTAGAAACGTGCCAATTTTACCTTCGACAAGTGTATACGGTGAATGATTTTGAATTGGATGAGCGCGTGTCGGGCGCACATTGAAGTGGTATGACCCTGGCCAAGAATAGATTCCCAAAGATCGTCGGATATGATAAAGTTGAGATCTTGTTCCCATTTTGACTTAATGGCAGTTAAGGGTGAGCTTAGTAATTTTGCTATTAGATTATAAAGAGTTGAAATGACACCTCTAGAAGTTGGATTGATAGATAAAATATCATCTACATAATTGTCCGAAGGTTTTTGAGGGAATTCTGCTGTCATAGTTTGTATATAGTGTCTGACCTGTAAGAAACGGAAGAAATGAGTTGTTGGAAGTCCAAATTTTGTAGATAACTGAGAGAAACTTGCAAATTGACCGTCTAGGTATAGGTCAGTAAAACATTTAATGCCTTTTCTATGCCAAAAGAGAAATGTGCCGTCAGACATTGAAGGGGTAAATAAATGATTTGCAGCGACTGGGCTCCGGAGAGAGAGAGGCTGGAGACCAAAAATTTTCCTGAATTGAGACCAAATTTTAAGAGACTGGTGTACTACTCTATTATGATCAGGTGGGGGCAGAACTAAAGGGAGTGGCGCGCCCAACATCGCAGGTAAAGAAAACTTGCTATCCGACCGAGACTCCATGATGACCCAAGCTGGTGGTGTTGGTTCCAAGTAAAAATGTTTCCAATATAGCATACTTTTGAAATTTGCAGCCCAGTAGTAGTATTGAAAGTTGGGAAGAGCCATACCTCCAACCAGCTTGGGTCTTTGAGGGAACGCTTTCCTCAGCCTTGGGTGTTTGCCATTCCAAATAAAAGAGGTAATTAAGGAATCCAGAGACTTAAAGAAGGATTTGGGAATCAAGATCGGAAGACATTGAAATAGATAAAGAAACCTTGGAAGTATCATCATTTTAACAGAGTTAATTCTACCAATTAGAGAGAGAAATAATCGGGACCATTTTGAAAATATTTGTTTACATTGATCTAATAGGGGAAAAAAGTTACTTTTGAACAGGTGACTGAATTGCTTAGTGACACAGACCCCAAGGTAATTAAAGCTATCTGTGACTACTCTAAATGGGAATTTTGCAAGGTCTTGCTTTTGAGCCTTCTTGTTAATCACGAACAATTCACTCTTATTCAGATTAATTTTATACCCCAAAATTCTACTAAACCCATCCAGCATTTGAAGCATTGGAGGTATGGAAGTGAGTGGGTTTGAGAAGAAAAGGAGAAGGTCATCAGCATAAAGTGAAACTTTATGCTGGGTATCACTCCTCCAAATGCCTTCTATGTCCCTCTTGCTTCTGACTGCGGCTGCTAGCGGTTCAATTGCCATGGCGAATAATAAAGGGCTTAAAGGGCAGCCCTGTCGCGTTCCTCGATTAAGCTTAAAATAGTCTGAATAACGACCATTTGTTAATACTGACGCTACAGGGCTAGCATAGAGAAGCTTAATCCAGGAGCAAAACGAAGAACCAAAACCAAATCTTTCCATGGTAAAAAACAAATAATTCCACTCTACCCTATCGAATGCTTTTTCAGCGTCCATTGAAATGAGACACTCGGGGATATTGTGGTCGGAGGTGTATATAATGTTGAAAAGCCTCCGTAAATTGAAAAAAGAGTGGCGGCTCTTAATAAAGCCAGTTTGGTCTGTTGAGATTATTGAGGGCAGGATTTTTTCCAGTCTACATGCCAGTAGTTTGGAAAGAATTTTTACATTGGTGTTCAATAAGGATATCTAAGGTGATCTGCAGGGTCTTTATCCTTTTTAAGCAACAATGAGATAGAAGCTTGGTAGCATGTTGGGGGTAGTGAGCCAGAGTCAAGCGAATCAGCAAATACTTGGCAGAGAAAGGGGCTAAGGTCCTCAGAGAATTTTTTGAAAAATTCTGAAGGAAACCCGTCTGGGCCTGGAGATTTCCCGGTCTGCATAGAAGATATTGCTGACTGGATTTCTTCTGTTGTAATGGGAGCTTCTAGGATTTTGTTGCATTCTAGGGAGATTGATGGCATTTCAATAGAGTCAAAGAACTCCTGCAAGTCTTTTAGATCTGCCATGGAGTCGGATGTGTACAAGTTTGAGTAGAAAGTTCGAAAGGTATCGTTAATCACCTTTTGATCAGATGACGACTCACCATTATTTGTCCTAACTGCAGTTATAATTTGCTTAGCCTTAATTCCCCGCAATTGATTGGCCAATAATTTACCAGATTTTTCCCCGTGCTCATAGAACTCGCTCTTATTCCTCATTAGACAGCCCTCAACTTGACGAGTGGAAAGTAACTTAAGCTTAGTTTGTAAATTCAGGCGCTCTTTATACAAGGCGGGTGTTGGTAATTGAGCATATTGCCTGTCAATATTAAGGATTTGATCTGTTATGTCTTTTTGTTCCTGCAGTGTAGACCGTCTCTTAAAAGCTGCCCAGGAGATAATTTCTCCTCTGAGAAAGGCCTTCATAGCCTCCCATACCGTTTTGTTGGGCATGCCTGGTGTTCTATTTTCAGTTAAAAAAGTTTTTATTTTAGAAGAGATGTTACTAACAAATTGTTCATCAGTGAGCAGTAACGGGTCCAGTCTCCAATGTTTTCTCACAGAGTCGCAGCCCTGCAAAGACATTTTAAGCAGTAGAGGGCCGTGGTCGGAAATAGCAATACTCTCATAATTACATGATGTGATATTGTTCATTAGTAAGCTATCCACAAAAAAATTATCTATTCTGGTGTAACTATGATGTGCATGAGAGAAAAAGGAATACTCTCTGCCGGAGGGGTAAATAAACCGCCAAGGATCTGTGAGATTATAATCACTGAGAAAGGACTTAATATATGTTGCAGATTTACTAAGAGTAGTTGGTTTAGAGGATGAGCGGTCGAGCATAACATCCATGCACAAGTTAAAGTCACCTCCCAAAATTAAAGAGTGAGTATTCAGATCCTGGAGATGCGAGAATATATTGCGAAAGAATTGTACATCGTCGAAGTTGGGTGCATAAAGATTAGCCAAGGTAACTAATTTATTACCGAGTCTTCCGGAGATAATTACAAATCGACCGTTTTTATCAAGAGTAATATCCGATGGAACAAATGGAATATTTCGGTCAATAAGTATAGCAGCGCCCCTGGCCTTACCCCTAAAGTTTGAGTGAAAAACCTGTCCTGACCAACACTTTGCCAGACGTGAATGGTCTGAGTCCTGCAGGTGCGTCTCTTGCAAAAATACCACCCCAGGTTTAAATTGCTTTAAACGTGATAAAACACGCTTGCGCTTTATTGGGTGGTTTAGTCCCTTCACATTCCAACTAACCAATGTAAGATTACTAGTCATCTAAAAGGGGGAAAAATATATATATATTGCTTAGCCCAAGGAGGAGGAGGAGGGATAACATAATGAATAAAAAGAAAGAAAAAAAAAATAATCATAAAAAAAACAAAGAAAGCAAGAAAGAATTAAACAAAAACAAAAAACCCAAAAAAAAAAAAAAAAAAAAAAAACCCAACAGGTTGCAAAAAACGGCAACCGTTTCTCCTGTCCTATTCTTATACCAGAAGAGTTCACTCTCATACACTACCTACTGGCCTCCCATCCTGTGTGGCAAAACCCTAAATTAAAATTATATATGAAAACAATACACGTTTTTGAACAGGCTATATCGTTTAACCAGAGCCACCTTACCGAAAGAGTGAATTACGTACGACGACGGGGTACGACAGTTCAATGGAGAATAGCAATAAGCAACAGGGTGTAACATGTCAATAGAGAATAGCAGTAAGCGTTCACGTTAGCGTCTCCATCAGGGCGAGGGACCCGCGTCTTCCTTTGTGGATTGGATGAAGCGGGTGGCCTCAGAAACCGATCCCAGCCACCGATTTCTACCATCTGGAAGGGTGATCCGGAGCTTGGCTGGAAAAAGCAGCGAAGGACGGAAACCCCTATTAAATAGTTCGGCCATAGCGTCTCTGTATTGGACTCGCTGTTTCTGGACCTCAGCGGTGTAATCTTCGTAGAACTGAAGCTTGTGTCCGCGGAACTCCAGAGTCCCACGGCGTCTCCGTACCTCTCTCATAACCAAATCCTTGGTCTGAAAGCGGTGGAAGCGTATGATGATCGTGCGTGGCTTTTCATTCAGACCTGGCTTGGGCAGCAGGCTCCTGTGGGCTCTGTCCAGCTCCGGGAGAGTTGACAGGGTCTGAGCTCCGAAGACATCCACAAGCAGCTGAGACACGAATTCTGTAGGCCGTGGACCAAGTTCCAATGATTCTGGTAAGCCCACCATACGGACATTCTGTCTTCTGCTTCTTCCTTCTAAGTCAGAAAGCTTGTTTTTCAAAAGTTTGTTCTCTTCATGTATTGACACGCATGTAGCTTCCAGTGATGCTAAGCGCTGGCTAACTTCCTCCGCATTAGTTTCTAAATCTCCAATACGACCTTCCTGATTCACAACCTCGGCTTGAATCTTGTCCAGCTTGTTGTTGATTACCTCTGATGAAGCTTTGAAATCGGCGGTGTTGTAGAATTTTCTATCCAAAGCACAGAGTAAGCTCAAAAGTATTTGTCTTAATTCAGGAGCGTAAGTTTATTGTACACACGTGCGGAGAGCTAACATATACAAAAGGCAGCATACACCAGCTCTGGCGCGCAGAGCTCAGGTTCCTGTTTACATAGATACACATGAAAGACAGTCACGCCCACAACAGATGGGAGGGGGCCACCAGTACAGGAGGCGCATCTGGAGCGGAGGAGCCATGTCCCAGCAGAGACAATCAGACCGTGCCATTGAGATGCAATGCATCACCTTTTGTTTTAGCGCAAGACACAGGAAGGCCTTTGTCTTAGGTGTGAAAGGAGCAGACAGCAGAGGCCTTCACAAAGCTCAGCATGGCGTCAGAAGGCCGTCTCTGCATTGATTAAAGGCCTTTGACGTCCGTGTATTTGCTGCGGCTGGTTCTAATTTAATTACTCTAAAAACTGTCATTACAGCGGCTATGGACGCTCTGTGTTGTTCGAGCAAAGCAATGAGTTCTGTGCTGAGACCGATGGTAGCATCTCCAGCTAAGTTAGCTCCGTGAGTAGCCAAACTTTCCTCCGTTTTTTTGCCGGCTTGAGGATCTTTCCTAGGCATGACTGCTAAGAAGCACTTTCCGGGATTATTGGCACTTTGACACGTACGTGTTATGAAGCAAAGTAGGGTTTTGTTGCCAAGGTAAATGAAAGTTTAAAGGAGCCCGTAGCAGACAGGTCTACTCCATTCAACCGGAAGTCCCACCCTGTATTTTTTGACAACTGACTATCAGCTGTTCAGTGTCTTTCATGGTTGATCCTGTGGCCTCCCGCTCGGTACGTTTCACCTTAGATCATATGGGTTCCCGTTGATTATGATGTAAAAAACTATGAATTTTCATGACCGACCACAGATCCTCATTAATCAAAGAGCACTGCTGTGTCCCAATATTGCCCAGAATCCTCAGTTTAATTCCTGTTTGAGCACTATTTAGATAACTCGTATAAACATCTGGTGAACTCCAGTGAAACTCAAGCCGATCCCCGCGCACCGGAAGTCAACTGTCATTTTAACTAAAACACGAAAGTGGTGTGTGCATAGAGCCCATTGTAGATAGATAGATAGCTAGATACTTTATTGATCCCCATAGGAGAAATTCAGGTATAGCAGCAAAAATAAAAGAAACAGCCCTTCAAGTCACAGCAGCAAATATAGAGTAATCTCTGGGTGGAGCAGGATGGGTCACAGCAACAGATGTGGAGTAGCTGGGTGGAGCAGGACGGGTCACAGCAACAGAGATGGAGTAGCTGGGTGGAGCAAGGCGGGTCACAACAGCAGAGGTGGAGTAGCAGCTGGTTGGAGCAGGACAGGTCACAAGGTGGAGTAGCCGCTTGGTTCGGACCATTTTCTCTGCTCTAGTCCAAGATAAAAGGCTAACTGCTTCATACTACGCATGCGCGGGCGGGAGCCGGCTGCAAGTTGCATCGCTCTCCCTTTTTCTTCTCACTTTTTTACTTTTTAGCCTCTGATTTTTTCCTTTTTTGGTAACTGCTGTTATAATCCAGCCGTGTGAAGCTAGTGCCCACTTAGGAAGTGAGACACGCCGTATTTTTTCCACCGTTTACCTCATCATAAACGTGGATTATACCTGTGGGAGATGTGCCCACGCGCTCCCATTGTTTGTCTCCCGGAGAGCCCTCCGCTCTCCGCGGCAGCGCCGGGTGTAAACACACTATTCCTGAGATTCTACGGAAAACACCCAGGGGATGGAAGGTACGAGGGAGAAAGAGATCCAGACCCGCGGTGCCTGCCGTGATCACCGGGAATGTGAGGTCTCTGTCCAATAAGACTGACGAACTGGCTGCACTGACCCGCTACCAGCGGGAGTACCGTGACGCCAGCTTCCAGGTATTTACAGAAACATGGTTAGAACCGCGGACAGTGGAAAGAGGAAAGGCGGAGGGCTAGCCGTGTTTGTGAACAACAGCTACGGCAAGCCGGAGCACTGCACTGTGAAACGCCAGGTGTGTGAGAAAGACATTGAACTTCTTGCCATTGGTGTGCGGCCATACTATCTGCCGCGGGAGTTTGGGCATGTTATTCTCATAGCTGTCTATGTCCCTCCATCTGCAAAAGCAGACAGTGCGTGTGATACTCTGCTCTCCACTGTTGGTGACCTGCAGACGCAGCACCCGCAGGCCTTATTTATTATTACTGGGGACTTCAACCACACAATATGTCCCCTGTCCCACTAGAGGAGACAAAATATTGGATCTGTTCTTCAGCAATGCCAAGGACGCAGGCCTGTCTACAAACCATTAGTGCACAGGAAGCCCGTGGTGAGGCGCTCGATACGTACATGGAATACAGACACTGTTGAGGCCCTCCGGGATTGTTTTGAAAGGACCCTATGGGGCGAGCTCTGTGACCCCCATGGGCAGGACATTAATGGCATGACGGAGTGTATCACAGGATAAACTTCTGCTTTGAGAACACATGCGGTGCTTTGCCAACAACAAGCCATGGATTAATTCCGACGTAAAGGCGCTGCTGAAGGCAAAGAATCTCCTTGGCCCCTGCGCAGATGAACTCTGCGGAGTGATGGAGCGCGTCTTCAACCTAAGCCTCAGGCTGAGGTCGGTAACACAGCTCTGGAAGACGTCCTGTGTGGTACCAGTGCCCAAGAAAACACGGGCCAAAGACCTCAGCGACTTCAGGCCAGTGGCTCTAACATCCCACTGCATGAAGACACTGGAGAGACTGGTCCTGGGACATCTCCGCTCCACTCTGACCTCAGCGATGGACCCGCTGCAGTTTGCCTACCGACCGGCATCGGAGTTGAGGATGCCATCATCTCCCTCCTCCATCGCTCCATTCTCCAGCGCCTTCAACACCGTCCAGCCGAGGCTTCTCAGGGACAAGCTGGAGACAGCTGGAGTGGACTACAACCTGTCCGAGTGGATACTGGACTACCTCACAGACAGACCCCAGTTTGTGAGAACCAGGGACTTTGTGTCTGAGGTCCTGACCTGCAGTGTGGGGACCCCCCAGGGGACAGTCCTCGCGCCGTTCCTCTTCACCCTCTACACTGCGGACACTGAGGAGTTATACAGGACTTTGTGGACTGGTGTCAGCGGAACCACCTCCTCATCAATGCGGGGAAGACCAAGGAGATGGTGGTGGATTTCCGCACCAGGGAAAAGGACCTTGAGAGAGTGACTCTTACAAGTACCTGGGTGTTCATTTGAACCACAAACTGGACTGGACTCACAACACAGACGCTTTCTTCAAAAAGGGCCAGAGCCGGCTCTACCTGCTGAGGAGGTTCAGGTCTTTTGGAGTGCAAGGGCCACTTTCAGTGTCATTCTTGCATCGTTGCAATATTCTTATCTTATACCAGAATGTGCAATACACAGCTGCCAATATACAGTTGTAAACATACTGCTGCTAATGTACAGTTGTAAACATACTGCTGCTAATGTACAGTTGTAAACAAACTGCTGCTAATGTACAGATGTATACATACTGCTGCTAATGTACAGATGCTAACATATAACTACACTTTACTTGCACTAGATTACACAGTACTTTATACTTGCCTCTTATTTTGTCAACTTTAAATTTTTACATCTATTATATTTTTAAGATAGAGATTTTATACTTATTATTGATGCTAGAGTTAGATTTTATTTTGTTTAGTATAGCTATTGTTCACTTAACGTGTGATGTGTGCTCCTCTTTCCTACTATTCTATAACCTGTGATGCAACACCGAAATTTCCCCACTGTGGGACAAATAAAGGATCTCTTAATCTTAATTAGAATTTTTCAAAAAGTCAGCATTCCTCCAGTGGATTTCCACCTGATCCGCTGGGTTCAGACCATGAATCCTCTCCGCTCCGGTCTGGACCAGTCAGTTCAGTTTCAGTTCAGTTTATTTATTTGCCATTTGCAGTAAAAAAACACATTGGAATACATTAGCAAAAAGTCTCCAGTGTGCACAGACAAATACAGACATAAAACAACATTAAAAGACAGAAATAAAACAAATAAAACAGTAAACAAATGTCACTGTGAAATCGATTGACTAAAACAGTTTCAAAACGAGTGCAAATCATGAAAGTGCTCTGTTCACACTGATAACAGCTTGTGGATAAAAACTGTTAGCGTAACGAGATGTCCTGCATCTCAGAGAGCGATATCTTCTGCCAGAGGGAAGAAGCTGGAACATGGCTTTTCCAGGGTGGCCAGAAGAGTCATTAATAATCCTAAGAGCTTTGTTTAAAAGTCTGGATTTATAAAGATCCTCCAGAACAGGAAGCTCACAGCCCACGGTCCTCTTAGCAGAGCGGAGCACCTTGTTTAAAGCTCTCTTTTCTTTATCTGTGATGTTTCCAAAACACACAGACACAGAACCAACAAGTAAACTCTCAATGGTGCAGCGATAAAAGTTAAGTAGAATCTTAGAGTTAGTGGTAATTTCTCTAAGTTTACGCAGAAAGTAGAGACGCTGACGAGCTTTCTTAACGACTCGGTCAGTGTTTTTAACCCATTTCAGGTCGTTAGACAGAGTTAAACCCAGAAACTTGCACTCCTCTACGATCTGCACCTGGGAGTTGTCGATTACGACAGGCAAATGAGAACTATTGCGACTGAAGTCGTAGACCAGTTCACATGTTTTCGATGCGTTCAACTGGAGGTTGTTAGTTTTACTCCACTGAACCACATTTGAATCCCTGCTCTTTACGAGGATTCATCATTGTTACTGATGAGACCGATGATGGTGGTGTCAGAGGAGGACACACAATCGTGAGTGTACAAAGTAAAAATCAAGCAAGGACTCAAAATACATCCCTGAGGAGAACCAGTGCTCACAGAAACAACATCAGAAAAACAGTCATTGATTTTCATTCTCTGAGATCTGTCAGTTAAAAAGCTAAAAATCCATTTACACATGGCAACACTTAAACCGAGAGACATGAGCTTTTCAATCAGTTTACCTGAGACAAGGCAGTTAAAAGCAGAGCTATAATCTATGAAAAGCATTCTCGCGACAGATTTAGTAGTGTCCAAGTGACTGTAGACAGAGTTCAGAGCAAAGGAGATGGCATCCTCCACACTCCTGTTGAGTCTGTAAGCAAACTGGAGCGGGTCAACACTCACAGGGATCTGGCTCTTAATGAAATAAAGATTACTTACTTACTTAGTACTTACGAGGAGGGATGCCGTCCGGGCCTGGGGCTTTCCGGACTATGGTCCTGGACAAGACACGCCTGACTTCCTCCTGAGTCACAGTGAAGGCAACTTGATTGAAACACTCAGGGAATACAGTAGGACAGGCTTCAGCGGATTCAAAGCGACAGTAGAACGTGTTCAGCTCGTTTGGCAGAGCTTGGCCGACAGATGCAATTTTCCCAGCACTAGGTTTCCATGATATGATGGCTTTAATACCGTTCCACATGCGCCGAGGGTCATCTTCCTCAAAATAACTCTTTAACCTGTCCCCGTAACTGCGCTTTGCAGATTTAATAGAACGTTTCAATGAGTAACAGGATAGCTTATAAGCAACTGTATCATTTGATTGAAACGCCAACGCACGCTCATAAAGTTTTAGTTTCACTTTGGTGTTCATCCAAGGGTTTTGACTAAAATGTTTTTTAATGACCTTCTGTGGGACACAGCAGTCAATACAGAAGCGTATGTATCCAGACACAGCGTCACAGAATTCATTGACGTCCTCTGACTGAAACACAGACCAGTCCGTAGCATCAAAACAACCTTGTAGCTTCATGCTAGCCTCCTCAGACCAACACTGCACAGTGCGAGAGGTTGGTTTATGTTCCCTACTCCTCTGAGTATACGAAGGACTTCTTCCTTCTTCTTCCCTCCGCATGAGAACAGAGGAGTGGTCAGACTTTCCAAAAGGAGGTCTGAAACTGGACCTGTAAGCTCCCTTCACGTTACTGTAGCAGTGATCCAGAACATGTGCTCCTCTTGTAGCTCGAGTCACATGTTGGTAAAAGTACAGTCTTTAAATTACATTTATTGAAATCCCCAGCAACAATGATGACTGCGTTAGGATGAGCAGACTCATGTTTGTGAAGGATCTCGCTCAGATCCTGTAGGGCTACTTTGTAATCCGCACATGGGTGAATGTAAACAGCACATAAAAATATCACTGAAAACTCACGGGGAAGATAAGAAGGGCGGCAGCTCAAGACCAGGCATTCCAGATTGGCAGTACATGTTTGGTTCACGATTCGAGTGTCCGTGCACCAGCGCTGATTAATTAAAAAGCACACACCTCCGCCTCTGGCCTTGCCCGTGGTCTCCTTCACTCTGTCCGTGCGGTGAGCGGTGAATCCCGGGGGCTGAACAGCAGAGTCCGGGACGTTCGAGTGGAGCCACGTCTCGCTGAGGCAGATCACAGCGCAGTCCCGGGCCTCGCACTGGCTCTGGACCCAACACAGGAGCTCGTCCGTCTGGGCAGAGACTGGACGTTGGCCAGGTAGATGGAGGGGAGAGCGGTCCTGGAGGAGCGGCTTCGAACGAGCAGACCGCCTCGCCTTCCCCGGTGTCTGCGCCTGCTTCGCCGACTCGAGGTGCCCAGCTCCACACCGCGGAGAGAACGCCGGAGACGCCCGGTCCCCTCGCGGCCACCGCCGCGGCCCGCCTGCCGTGCTCCACGGGCCTCTTGAGTGGGACACTCGAGGAAGTTAATGCACCTCAGTTTGGGCAAGACGAGTGACCCGTCACACGCATGCTCCCGAATGTACAGAAGTGTTTCTCGGTCATATCTCACAGCAGCAAGTGACTCACAGACGAAAAACTGCAAAACACAGATCGTGCGCACTAGAGCTCTCACTGCGGCGTCATGACACGGCGCCACCTTGTTCCCACCAATCCTAGAGTCGGACCAGTGCAAAACCATGAACACTGTACTGCAGTCACACAAGCAATACAAATAAAAATTGTAAAGCACAAAACAACAACTGTTTTAGAGCTACTTAGGACTTGCTGCCGTTTTCCAGCGCAAGTCAAAAATAGAAAAAAAAGGCAAATTTTGCTGCTCCGCTTCTTGAATACAGTTTAAGTGATAAAAAAATTCTATGAGCACTAATGATGGTACATTTGTTTAGATGATGTGGAGTGATTTTAAGGCAAATCGGTAAAACCGCCGAGAAGGAGTTGATTTCCAACCGCCGTTTTTTTTTTTTCCATTTTACAATTATTTTAATAGGCTTCCAGTTTGTCAGGGGGCGTGGCCATAATAACTTTTTTTTTCATGTCTTGAGTTGAGGAATATGTGTACCGAATTTCGTGGCTGTACACCAAAGTTGACCTCGGACCCCCTCCCATAGGAGCAATGTACTGTAAATAGACTTTTGTAGGGGGCGCTGTTTTGCCATTTTTTTAGTCCCATAAAAATAAACACACTCTTTTTTTTTCCACATGTTCTGAATTTTGTGCAAAATTTGTCAACTTTTCATTTATGTTCAGGGGCTCAAATTAAAGGTGCCATGATACGCTTTTTGACTTTTCTCTGCTTTAAACTTCATTACAGTGCTATTTGCCCTTCATACACATGCCAAGAGTGGTTTTATCAATGATTCCTTCAAGCTTTAGTTAGAGAGCGATCTTTCTATTTCACCATCGAGAGGCAGCAAAATGCCCGAGTCCAAGTCTATGACGATTTCAACATTGACAAGCCTGTTTTTTCTATTTAAAATGGTTCTTAAATACTGTCGTCAAAACAGGGAAAACAATGCACAATATACTGTATATACTGTTTGTTGTCAAAAATATTACAAATAATAATAATAATGCTAAAATCCAGGTGGTGAATGACAAATCGAAACAGCGAATCAAGGCGCACAGCCAGCTCCTGAGTCCAGCGTATGTCTGTGGTTTGGTCCGGCGGACACCAAGTGGAACTATGCTGTTTTTTTGCTTTTGTCAACTCGGAGAAAATGTGTTTTTGTTGTATATATGTGACGCACTATTTGGCCCGAAGAGGTGATTTTTTTACACAGGGATCTGCCTTTGTTTGAATGAATCTGTTCATCTGCAACACTTCACTAAGACTGTTCCAGAACAACTGGACTTACTCAAAAACTTCGGTTGTTGGAGATAAACAACTGGCAGCGTGAGGCTACATCACCGCGCAGGCGGGGGGAGGCGAGGAGCATGACTCCTTTTTGGATCAGCCTCATATGCAAGAGATGTCTATAATATAAGTTTTGAAGGTTGTTTTGTATGGTTTGTATGGTGTATCACTCAAATTATTAACATGTGCATAGGATGGACTGTGAAACATGAAGAAGAGCGTAATGTGGAACCATTAAGGTTCAAAGAGCAGAAAAAAATAAAAATAAAATAAAAATAAGAAGAATTTTTTTTCCCAAAAATCTTTGAGCCAAAACAATATATGTTTCCCTGGTAACGTATAATACAAATTATAAATTGTTTCAAGGCGAACGAGCGGACAAACACAACTGTTGTGTTCTTTGTGAATCACCTCAACATTATGAGGTCACCCGCTCCCTCCATAGGACACCTTTCTTTTCACAGGGCACTACAGCAGGATTTATCAGTGTCTGGGCACGCACCGTCGGGCTTGGGAGAAGACAGTTGAAGTCACCCAACCCTTCCATAGGACCTCAATCATTTCACTGTGTACTACAGCAGGAGTAAAGCCATTCTGTGCCTCCGGGATGGATTTATCAGTGTTTGGGGAGCGCCGCTGCGGTGCGCCCGGAGATTGTGACTTATGACAGGCAATACTCGTTAAAGCAATAGGCCCTCTTACCCCTGTTGGGGTTCGGGCCTAATAAGGAATAGCCTCAGGCTAAAGGTGAACTCTTATGCCCCAACAGTAGATTAACATACAACATCCCAACACAAGTGGCCTGTATTTCAGCCACTTGGGATTTGGGATTAAACTTCCCATTCATTAATATTCCATTAACACGCACATAGACTGACGTGCTCCGTCACAGTCATTATTCTCAAGATCATGTTTTAATTGCACAAATATAATCAGCGGTTTTCACATAAATATTGATATAACAGCTTTCGGTAGTAGATCTTGTGAATCTAATTTCTAAAAAGTCACACACAATTCTCCTCACATACAAATCTGATTACATGTTTCTTTGATGCTTTCTCCCATCTGTAGCTACAACGGTCAAACGTACGAAAACGACATTGCTCTGGTGGAGCTGAAGAAGCTGCCATTCAAGCAGGAGTGTTTCCGTGAGAATCCGGCTGTGCGCCCCGTTTGTGTGCCCTGGACCCCCCATCTATTCCAGCCCAACCACACCTGCAGCATCTCAGGTTGGGGACGCACTGCAGGTAATGATAATAATGATGATGATAAGAATAATAATAATAATATAAAACTTATAAATATAATGATCCAAAATAAGGATGATAATAATATGATTGGTAAAAATACAGTATATAATAATATAATATTGACCTACTCCAATACAATCAATACACCAACAAAAAAGGATACTACTTAAGGAAACAGTACATCCAGTGTGCAAAATCCCTATAAATTTTCATGGGGGGTCCCTATCAGGAAAAGTATGTGCAACACAGATATAGGAATAAATACATGATCAGTGCACTTGAAGGCCTGTAATCAATTGTGTGTCATCAACTATCCATCTAGTCAATGCACAATTATGCACATAGAAAATCACAGTGAAAAAAAACCCACCATGACGGGCAATGTTCCCTCTAATTTTGTATGGGTCAGAGCAAAAACACAAACCCACTGAGCGGCACTCTGAGCGAGAGATCTCTGTTGAAAACCATTCACTTTGGATACACCTCCTGTAAACACCTCCTGCGTATACCTGCTGATCTCATTTATTTACGTTACTCCAAATTCAACCAACTATGATTCGGTTCAATATTCACCTGATCATGATTCAAGTCTTTTATAGATGGTGAATTAAAGTAAATTGATGAATATATTTGGTGAATTGCTCTAAAAAAACAACAACAACAAATATTCAAACTGGATTTTGTCTATTCATATTTAATATAGACTAATTCGAATATATTAATACATACATAGTTTTATTTAGTCATATGGCATTATAAAATAAAACAAATAGACCAATAATTATTTATGATAATATTAGTCATATTGCCACAACTTTTTTTTTCCATAAATATTTTATTGAAATTTTCTGGCATGGCACATTAGTTAGTTACACACTCTCAGATTCAGATTCGGATTCATTTTATTAGCCATGTGCAGTATAAAAACTACATTGGAATACATTTGCAAAAAAAAGGTACTCTGTGTGCACCGACAGAATAAAAAGCACGATACAATGTAATATAAAATACACATACACTGAATATAAAAGAGTAAAAAAACAGCTGACACTGTGGCACCGATCAACAAAACGATACAAGGGGTAAAAGCAGGAATTAAAGTGCTCTGTTTAGGCACCTAACAGCCTGTGGAAAGAAGCTGTTAGCATAGTGAGATGTCTTGCATCTCAGCGACCGATATCTTCTGCCAGAGGGAAGAAGCTGGAACATGGCTTTCCCAGGGTGGCCAGAAAAGTCATTGATGATTTTAAGAGCTCTGTTTAAAAGTCTGGATTTATAAAGAACCTCCAGAACAGGAAGCTCACAGCCCACGGTCCTCTTTGTAGAGCGGAGCACCTTGTTTAAAGCTCTCTTTTCTTTATCTGTGATGTTACCAAACCACACAGACACAGAACCAACAAGTAAACTCTCAATGGTGCAGCGATAAAAGTTAAGCAGAATCTTGGAGTTAGTGGTAAATTCTCTAAGTTTCCGCAAAAAGAAGAGCCGCTGACGTGCTTTCCATACAACCCGGTTAGTATTTTTGTCCCATTTCAGGTCGTTAGACAGAGTTAAACCCAGGAACTTGCACTCCTCTACGATCTGCACCTGAGAGTTGTCAATAACTACAGGAGTGTGAGAACTGCTACGACTGAAGTCAAAGACAAGTTCACATGTTTTTGCAGTGTTCAGCTGGAGATTGTTTACTTTACTCCACTGAACCACATTTTGAATCTCTGCTCTATAAGAGGATTCATCATTTTTACTGATGAGACCGAGATCATCAGCATATTTGATGATCAAGTTTGAGTCAGAGGAGGACACACAATCGTGAGTGTACAAAGTAAAAAGCAAAGGACTCAAAATACATCCCTGAGGAGAACCAGTGCTCACAGAAACAACATCAGAAAAACAGTCATTGATTTTTACTCTCTTATGAACAATGTCTCACCATGTTATTTACAGTACAAATTAAGATACAAAATAACATAAACCCAAAACAATTAAATTCACATTGGTCATTACTTACAGGGTTCTTTAAAGGACTTCTCATCCCCCCTCCTGGAGGCTTACGTCACTCACATTTTCTTTTCAAATCTCCCTCCAAATGGGCGTAGCCTGGAGGACTAAAGGGGACAGGCGGGGGGGTGAATGTTGGGTGGGTCTAAGCTGTGATAAACACTTGACATCGGCATTGGCTGTGACAAAGATGGAGAGAGAACACAGACACCAGCTCTATAGATTCTGTGCGGTCTTAGGAGGTGGAAGACTTCTCTTGAGAGAGAGGAGGCAGACGGCGGCCCCCAGCCCTATCAATTTGAGCCGTTAGCTCGCTCTGCTAGTAGAACTAGCGGATAAAAGCTAGCGCCGCTAGTAGAGCTAGCGGCTAAAAGCTAGCGCTGCTATTAGAGCTAGCTGTTAGCTAGCTGTTAGCTAGTGGGCACCACCGGCAGCTGCCTCTGCTGTAGCAGACCGCCACAGAATGGGGCCTGTTTCTGAATGATATTGTCCCCGAAGGCATTTCGGATAGAAATGATACCCCAATGTGCACAAAAGAGACAGTAATTTAACACACGCTCAAACATAAAGTAGTATTTATTGTACACAAGTACAATAAACAATGTACAATGAAATTGCACACGATATAGAACTAGTAATACTAACAAGTCCTTAGCTAAATTCAGCTAACTAATCTAACAATAAAAGCTAACTAATGACTATACTACAATATTCAACAACAAAGCTATTAACACTACACAATTATCTACAATACAAACAGCTATGCAAATAAAAATCTACCTAAATACTATAACTAATCGCAAATGATGACTAATTGTGACAAGGGGACGTTGTTGATATTTTGATTCATATTCACAAAGCTTCTTAATTGTAAGTATTGAAAGCTTTAAGTTCATCAAATAACATGAAGACAGATGTTCTCTGTGAATAGAGATCTCCAATCATTTTCTATCCCCTGGATGACCATAATTTAAATGTGTTATCTGCTCTTCCAGGAGTAAAGAGTTGGTTCTACGTCATGGTGCTCCGCCCCGTATAGGCTACGCTATGGGTACTCTTAGTCGGGGGCTTCTGGTCGGGCCCGCCTCGCCACATTGATGTGGCCCGCAGGGCGCTGCAGCACTTTGTCCCACGTCTGGAGGGGGGGCATGTAATGGTCCGTTTGGACAACACCACCGTGGTGGCGTATCTGAACAGGCAGGGGGGCACGAGGTCCCCGTCCCTCCATCGTCTGACGACGACCCTTCTGCTCTGGGCCGCAGTGCACCTGCAGTCCCTGAGAGCGCGCCACGTTCCGGAGGATTGGAACACATAATGTCCAAAGGGGGCCCACTCAAGGAGGAGTGGGGCCTGGACCCGAGAATAGTGGAAGAGGCCTGGCTGAGGTTCGGTCGCCCGGTAGTCGACCTTTTCGCCAGTGCAGACAACGCTCAGCGCCCGCTCTGGTTCGCACTGGAGCCGTGGGCCCTCCCGGACGAGCCGTGGAAGAGGCCTGTCCTCAGGAGGACACCTACGATCTGGGACCTGAGAGTGGTTCTGAGGGGACTGTCGGGGCCCCCGTTCAAGCCGGTGGCCCGGGCCAGTCCGGAGTGTGGCCCTCAAGACTGCCCTTTTGTTGGCCCTGGCATCAACCAAAAGGGCGGGAGATCTATGCGCAGCCCGGCCTGCTTATCGTTTGGAGCTGGGGATGGTCTGGTGGAGCTTTGGCCCAATCCAGTCTTTCTTCCCAAGGTCGTTTCTTTGACTTTCAGGTCAAGGGTTATCAGGTTCAGACCATTTTATCCGTACCCTCATGCCTCGGAGGAGGATGAGCGGCGGCATCTGTTGTGCCCTATCAGGATGCAAATGACAGAAACAGACTGAAGAAGCTGGTCAGGAGGGCCAGCTCCACTCTGGGCTGCTCCCTGGACTCTGTGGAGGAGGTGAGGGACAGGAGGGTGCTAGCCAAAGCCACCTCCATCATGAACAATACCTCCCACCCACTGCACAGGACTGTAGAGGAGCTGAGGAGCTCCTTCAGTGGAAGACTGAGGCACCCTCAGTGAAGGAAGGAGCGCTACCGCAGGGCCTTTATCCCCACCGCTGTCACTGTACAATAAGTCACTTTAATTGATCACTGTGTGAAAACCTGCACTACTATTGACACTGTTCCCAATTGACACTTGTCACTTTTGTTGTACATAATTATTGTCACTTTATTGTACATATATCCTGCATGTAACATGTTTGCACATTTCCTCCCTTTGCACAATCTGAGTGTCTCTATCCATGCCAAATGTGAAATGTAAATTTCTCCTATGTGAGATAAATAAAGCAAATCTTATCTTATCTTATCTTATGCTTAGGTGCTACTTGGACGTCACAGCTGCGTTCAGATGTTCTGACCAGCTGTTTGTGTGTTTGGGTCCTGGGAACAAGGGCGTCCCGTTGTCCCCTCAGCGGCTGGCGCAATGGGTTTCCCGAGCGGTCCACATGGCGTACCAGGCTCAGGGGTTAGTTCCCCCGGTGGGATTCAGGGCGCCTTCCACACGGGGGGTGGCAGCCTCCTCGGCTCCGGGGGGCCACAGTGGAGGACGTTTGCCAGGCGGCGTCCTGGGCATCGTCCTCCACCTTTGCTCAATCTTATCTGATTGACGTGTCAGAACAGTCTTTTGCTCACTCCGTTCTGAACACTGGGATCTGATTAGGACCGTGAGGTGCTCTTGGGAGAGGCAACCTAGGGTCCTTTTTACATATGTTAAGTACATATATTCTATATATGTGTGATCAGCGCCGCCCCGTTCAGGTGCTCTTGATAGAGGCGGGCTGGGGTTCTGCCCTGTTCTCTTGGGCAGCATGTGGTCTTCAGGAGCTCTTGGTAGAGGCGTCCTGGACTCTTGCCTGACCTTCCCTCTGGGTCCTGGCCTTCCCTTCGGATGCTCTTGGTAGAGGCGTCCTAGGAATGCGCCCCCCCCCTTCTTAGGGGAAGTTTGACAGGGGCCTCGGGCGTCCTTGATAGG